ATTGCTGACCTCCTGTGAATTTGCTTAATCACGACGTTGTCAGCACTGACCAGCTGTCCCACCAGTGTTCCTGTTTCTATGGGAACATGCATTCAGTGTTTCGGGGGCTGTGATCGAGGCAGAATGTTTGGGGGTGAGTATGAGTTTCAGCAGGATGTGGTCACTGAGAGTGTCTACTGCTCGCTCTCAGCTTCCTGCTCTTCCTCCCTCAGGCTCTGTGCTGTCCCTGGCACAAGTGTTTGTTGAACTCTTAAAATGTCTGGGTGAGAGACCACTCAGCAGTTTGGAACCGATAAGAGCACTGGCTGCTCGTACAGAGGACATGGATTCGGGTCCTAGCACCCACACAGGAGCTCACATCTGTCTGTAACTCCAGTTCCGGGGATCCATACCCTCTTCTGACCTCTCTGAGCACTATGTGCACATATTTGTGTGCAGGCAAAACACCTATACAGTAGATAAATTTTAATGTACCAGACAGTGCTGTCACCCTTGCTGTTTACTTACTCCCCATTTCTCTCTCCAGCCCTGAAGTCTCTCGTCAATTTTGTGCGTCTGTGCCTTGCTCACTCTGGATCTGTACAGTGTCCTTTTTATCTGTCCTCCTTCTCTGAGCCTCATGCTTCAAAGCCCTCCATCTGTCCCTGTTTGAGAGCTTCCTATGAAACACTGAGCTAGTGTTCCAAGAATCAAATCAAAAACAATTTGTTTCCAGACCAGCATGGCTGGGATACATATGTATATGCGATAACTAACAGTTTAGTCTCTAGTTAATTCTGGTGACACTGCACAGGGGATACCTCAGAATCACTCAGAATCAAAATACGAGAAAGAATTGATTGCTCAGAGCTGAGTGTATTATGTTATTTAAAAATAATTACAGGACAAATATAGCCAAAGTACATTATGTGGTTGTATGAACGTCACACGAATGCCCGCCATTCCGACGGTTCCATGATACTAGTACAGTGTATAAAGAAAGAATTTTAAAAATTGTTGGATGCAGTTTTTCTCTTCCTTATGAAGACACTCTCCCCAAACAAACAAGCTAGAAAGCATTTTCTTTTCTCCCCCCTCCCCCCACAAGGTTTCTCTGTGTATCTTTGGTACCTGTTTTGGATCTTGTCCTGTAGACCAGGCTGGCCTAGAACTCACAGAGATCCTCCTGGCTCTGCCTCCCAAGTGTTTTAGTGCTGGGATTAGTGCTGCTTGGCTTAGGAAGCATTTTCAATCTTCTTGAAAACAATTCAGCATTTTCTTTTCTTTCTTTCTTTTTTGTAATAGTGAATGTTTTTTAAATTATTTATTTATTTTTATTTTATGTGCATTCGTGCTGTGCCTGTATATATGAGGGTATCAGATCTTGGAGTCACAGACAGTTGTGAGCCACCCTGCCGGTGCTGGGAATCGAACCCTGGTCCTCTGGAAGAGCAGCCAGTGCTCTTCACCGTTTGAGCCATCTCTCCAGCTCCTTTCTGTAAGTTTAAAATCATATGCAGAAACCTTGGACATATTTTATGGCCCCATTTTCATCTTCTTAGGAGGCCATGGTCTTTAGTTCATAAGGAAGGAAGGAAGGTGAAAAGACATCTTCTTTGGCAGGCTAAAAGCTGCGAGGAAGCAGAAATGCCTTTGGAAGCTTCTGACTACAGCAGTTTCCAGATCTTCAGAGGCAAGGTGGCAGCTAAGGGTGAGCTGAGCGAGGGACCTGTGTCACAGAGACTGCATTTGCTGCACACCCATCCTCCCCTCAGCGATGGAGGCTGCCTTCCTGGGCTGTCCTGGGATTTTACTACCTCAGGTTTCTTGTGTGAGAGGGGTCCAGTCAACATTTTCCTGTTATAGCTGGGTGGTGGTGCACCCCTCTAATCTCAGCACTCGGGGGGCAGAGGCAGGTTGATCTCTGTGAGTGAGAGGCCAGCCTGGGCTACAGAATGAGTTCTAGGACAGCCAGGGCTACACAGAGAAACCCTGTCTCAAAAAACAAAAACGAACAAATATTTCCTGTTATGACTGGCATGTTCTTTCATTTAGCCCCAAATCTTAGGGGTTCGTCCATGTTGCGTATGTGTTGGTGTGTCCTTGTCAAAGGCTATGCAGTGTACCACATTTCTGTCTGTTCTCATGGGTTCTGAGATCACCTTTTGGCTGTGAGACTCGCTGCAGTGAATGTGGGTGGGCAGGTAAGGCCCGAGGATCCTTTCTGAATTCTTTTGCGTGTATATTCAGAGAGCGATTGTGGGATCTGGGACGGATTCATTGGTGCAGTTTACCAAACGCTTGCTCTTTTGTGCGGAGCAGCAGGAGTTTTGAGCAGGGGAAGTCCTATTCCTAGAGTGGGTCCTCATTCTCCACCCCTCCATCCTGTGTAAAAGAAACAATCCCAGGTAGAGAAATTTTCCCAAACCATTCTGGGGACTTCTCTACCATTGCTCACATTACTCCCAAAGCAAGCACAGGGCTTGCTGGATTTCATCTCCTGGCACACATCCATCCCTGTGTTCATCTCCCGGCACACATCCATCCCTGTGTTCATCTCCCGGCACACATCCATCCCTGTGTTCATCTCCCGGCACACATCATCCATCCCTGTGTTCATCTCCCGGCACACATCATCCATCCCTGTGTTCATCTCCCGGCACACATCCATCCCTGTGTTCATCTCCCGGCACACATCCATCCCTGTGTTCATCTCCCGGCACACTCCATCTCCGTGTTCATCATCTCCCGGCACACATCCCCGTGTCTTGAATGTTGCTCAGGAGTCTGGGCCTCTTGAGACCTTTCCTGTGACTGGGCTCAGGAGATGTAGAGGTGGTGTCTGAGGAGGTTCCGGAGGACACGGGAGGGTGTGGAGGGAGGCACTGGCAAGGTTGGCATCAAGAATGGATGAAAAATGCCTGTTTTCAGCCTGTTGATAAGTGGAGTATTAGTTGTTGGAGATGATATAGTAAGAAACGTTCATGTTGCACCACACTCATCCTGTGTGTGTAAGGGGCCCTTGCCTGTGTGCTGCACACTCATCCTGTGATGTGTTGCTGTGGATAGTGCTCTGTATAAATAAAACGTTGATTGGCCAGTAGCCAGCCAGGAAGTATAGGCAGGACAAGCAGAGAGGAGAATTCTGGGAAGTGGAAGGCTGAGGCAGAGAGACCTGCCAGCCGCCGCCATGACAAGCAAGATGAAGGTACCAGTAAGCCACGAGCCACGTGGCAATTTATAGATTAATAGAAATGGGTTAATTTAAGATAGAAGAAGTAGATAGCTAGAAGCCTGCCATGGCCATACAGTTTATAAGTGATATAAGCGTCTGAGTGATTATTTTATACGTGGATTGTGGGACTGCGGGGCTCGTGGGACCTGGAGAGAAGCCCTCCAGCTACAACGTATTCCAGTGTGTAGTGTTTCTCTCCCCCTCTCTTGTTTTTAGCCTTGGGTTCTCTATGGAGACTATTACATGTGAGAGGACTTAGGGGAATCGCCTCATGGGATTGTGGACTGTGGCCTGCAGATCCTGGGGTACGGGATGCTGGCAGACTAGTTCATGTCTGACGGCCCTAGAGCCAGGGATGACAGGAGCTAGCGGTGGCCCCGGAGTCCTGAGACCAGAGAGCCTGGAGCTCTGCTCACAGCTGTGACTCAGGAGCATGCCCCAAGTCTCATGTCCAAGGGGGCAGTGGAAATCCTGCTTTGTCCTGTTTTGTTCTCCCCAGCACCCCACTCACCCCACCCATTCTGAGGACAGATCTTACTCTCTCTGGACACGGTCCCTGCCAGTTTGCAGAATAAACACTCAGAAACACATTAGCATGTCTTAGGGACTCCTTACTCCTGTCAAGCTAACGCCTACAATTAAGCATCCTGGGTGCAGTCCATGAAACTTGTCTTGCTCAGGTTCCTAGGTGCTTGCAGGGCAGCTTCTGAGAGCTTGCTCTCTGGAGTGTGTCTAGCATTTGTAGGTCTCTTCAGCACTTTTGACAGTGAGCCACTTGAACAAACTGTGTCTAGACCCAGGTGCCCCTCTCTGGCCTTGGGATGACAGCTGTTATCCAGCTCCTACAGCTGTTACAAAGGGCCAGTTAGTAGCTGTGCATGAGGTGTAGAGAGCATTGTCTGACCCAGAGTCCTGCATGTGCTGCATGAAGGTGGTTGACTTCTCACTCAGCGTTACGCCTCTCCCACCTCCTTACTGTGTCAGGGTTCCCTGTTGCCTGGAACACGAATTTTAAAAACGGTCTTATTTATAAAAAACCCAGAGCCAGGCATTGGGGTGATAGCTGAGAGATCAGAGAGACAGAACCAGCCACAGCTAACCTCACCTCGCCAACTCCTCAGCCAATCCTGTTCCTCAGACTGGAAGCCTCTGAGTCCTCACCGGAATGGATCTCTGCTGAACTGCTGCTAAAAGCCTAAAAGCTTAAAAAACCTCTAGTTCCTGGTCCTCACGCCTTATATACCTTTCTACTTCCTGCCATCACTTCCTGGGATTAAAAGCATGAGTCACCATGCCTGGCTGTTTCCAGTGTGGCCTTGAACTCACAGAGATCTGGATGGATCTCTGCCTCCCAAAATGATAGGATTAAAGGCGTGTGTGCCACCATTTTCTGGCCTCTATGTCTATCTAGTGGCTGTTCTGTTCTCTGACTCCAGATAAGTTTATTAGGGTGCACAATATATCAACCACAGTTGCCTCTTCCCTACCACATCAAGTCAGGGCCAGGAGCTGCTGGGAGTCTGCAGGCAGGGAGAGGACGAAGCTACGCTGGCAGGGCAGGGTGTCTGGGAACTGGAATTGAGGCATCCATCTTGGGGTGGCTGGAAAGCAGATGTGTGAGCAGGTGTATCCCTTCACTGTAGGTGGACAGTGCAGTGGAGCAGAGCCTTGCTCCCTGATGGGCTGGGCTGCTGCGGGCTGGGTGTGGCTTTCTTCCTTTGACACCTGCTCTGTAGGCTGAGTTGCACAGGTAAGCTGTCTGATTCCATTTTTGTCTTCCTTGCAGGCGGTTTTAGTGAGTAACATCACCACAGGCGAAAAGCTCATCAGAGACCTGCAAGGTAAGCCCCTTCCCGCTAGCCCAGCAGCTGCCTCAAGGAAAAGCCAGCCTGGCTCTGGCCGACGCCTCACAATGGCCTCGGGTGGCTCCGTCACTATAATCCTGTGTTAGGAGTAATTGAGCCATCCTTAATGTATTCTTACTTACCTGTCCTTATAAAATATTACTGTGACATTGCAAGTTATGATGGACATAATTCAGCCCTTTGATTTATGGATCTTTAAGAAATACTGGGGGGCGTGCTGAGTGTGGGGCGCTTGCCTAGCGTTTCCAGGACATTAGGTTCAATCCCCACCACCAAGTGAGTGATCAAAGTGGATGAGCATTCTTTGTTTTTTTCCCCGAGACAGGGTTTCTCTGTGTAGTTTTGGTGTCTGTCCTGGATCTTGCTCTGTAGACCAGGCTGGCCTTGAACCCACAGAGATCCATCTGCTTCTGCCTCCCGAGTGCTGGGATTAAAGGCATGCGCCACTATTTTTTTTTTTTTGTTTGTTTTGTTTTGTTTTTCAAGACAGGGTTTCTCTGTGTAGCTTTGCGCCTTTCCAGAAACTCACTTGGGAGCCCAGGCTGGCCTCGAACTCACAGAGATCCGCCTGCCTCTGCCTCCCAAGTGCTGGGATTAAAGGCATGTGCCACCACCCGGCTGGCATGTGCCACTATTGCCCAGCTGGATGAGCATTTTTTTTTTCCTTCTTTCACTTCTTTATTTTTTTTCCATTTTTATTTACTTATTTATTTTTCTATTATCAGCTGGATACAGTACAAATTCTTATCCTAATAGTGAAATGTTCCACTGAGGCTTGCCCAGTAATTGAGTAAAACCAAAACTTATTATAAACCACAGTCATTCTAGGGTCCCCCCTACTATGTAGCCTCCCTGGTTCTGTGGGTTGCAGTCTGATTGTTCTTTGCTTTATATCTAGTATCCACTTATGAGTGAGTACATACCATGTTTGTCCTTCTGGGTTTAGGTTACCTCACTCAGGATGATTTTTTCTAGTTCCATCCATTTGCCTGCAAATTTCATGCTGTCATTGTTTTTCTCTGCTGAGTAGTACTCCATTGTGTATATGTACCACATTTTCTTAATCCATTCTTCAGTTGAGGGGCATCAAGGTTGTTTCTAGGTTCTGGCTATTACGAATAATGCTGCTATGAACATAGTTGAGCATGTTTCTTTGTGGTATGATTGAGCATTCCTTGGGTATATGCCCAAGAGTGGGATGGCTGGGTCTTGAGGTAGATCCAATCCCAATTTTCTGAGAAAGAGCCCTAATGATTTCCATAGTGGTTGTACAAGTTTACATTCCCACCAACAGTGGAGGAGTGTTCCTTTTGCTCCACATCCTCTCCAACATTGGTTGTCATTGGTGTTTTTGATCGTAGCCATTCTAACAGGTGTAAGGTGGTATCTCAGAGTCATTTTGATTTGCATTTCTCTGATGATTAAGGATGCTGAGCATTTCTTTAAATGTCTTTCAGCCATTTGTGATTTTTCTTTTGAGAATTCTCTGTTTAGCTCTTTAGCCCATTTTTTAATTGGACTGTTCAGTATTTTGATGTCTAGTTTCTTGAGTTCTTTCTATACTTGGGAGATCAGTCCTCTGTCAGATGTGGGGGTTGGTGAAGGTCTTTTCCCATTCTGTAGGCTGTCTTTTTGTCTTATTGACCGTTGTCATTTGCCCTACAAAAGCTTCTCAGTTTCAAGAGGTCCCATTTATTACTTGTGCTCAGTGTCTGTGCTGCTGGTGTTATATTTAGGAAGTGATCTCCTGTGCCAATGCGTTCAA